AAGAGTTAATAAAAAAGAAAAAGAGGAACACTTGTACACTGTTGATGGGAATGTAGACTGGTGCAGCCTCTAGAGAAAACAGTATGGAATTCCCTGAAAAAATTAAAAAAATTGAACTGCCATTTGACCCAAGTATTCCATTTCTAAGAATATATTCTAAGAACCCCAAATTGTCAATCTAAAAGATTTACAACAGCTAAGATCTGGAAACAGCCCAAGTGCCCATCAGTAAATAAGTGGATACAAAAACTGTGGTACATTTACACAATGGAATACTAGGCAGTTTAGGAAAGAATGATCTCTTACTCTTTGAGACAGCTTGGAGGGACCTAGAGAGTATTATGCTAAGTGAAATAAACCAGTCAGAATAAGTTCTTATCAAAAGAGGGCTAAAGTAGGTTTACAGATATTTAGATGGAAAATAATACAATAATTAATAAATAAAAATTAAACTGTTTTGTGAATTCAAAACTGTAAACCTACTTTTGCTCACCCCTGTTATATATATAGTAATGATGTGCAGACTGAAAGTTACTACTCTTGTAAATACTAGAGCTGTTAATGAGGCATGACTGGCATGAATAGTAATAAAAAGATTTTCCAGGTTTCCAGTCTTCCCCTAGTGGCCAACTATTGAAGAAACTAGTAATGAGGACTGGCAAAGAAAAAATTTAATTTCTATGTTTGTATTCCCTGTGGGACAAAGGAGAGTACAAATGGGAAGGATGGCTAGAACTGAGACAGCAAATTAAAAACACACAAACACACAATATCCATTAGCTCTACCTTTGCTGAGGAAACACAAAGAAACAAGTTTCCTGGAAAATTAAACACTATTTAAAATAAAGAAAAGTAGTAATATTCTAGGAATTAGGATATTTTGGTAATTGTTTAATGGCCAATATTTTAAGATCCCAAATAATAAAATGTCTTGGGCATTATGCCAATGGTCTGTGACACATTCTGTAACATTTCTATAGCCAGGAGACTAACATTTAGTACACAGAAAGTTGGGTCAGACTGAACTCCTTTGAAATAGTCAATTGTTCCTTTTCTTTCAATAAGCAGTAGAACATTTTGCTGTTTTTCCTTTGATAAAATTGCATCAACTTGCTCTTCTTCTGTAGCTAAAATCTTGGCATTTTGCTGTTTTTATTCATGTGAAGGTGGCACATTCTACTTTTCAATTATGGCTGTAGTGGAAGTTAAAAACCCAAAAAATTAGCAAGCATAATAAAAAAATAAAACGAATCAATGAGAGTAGTAGCAGGTAATGATTCTTTTGCCAAATTTTAATCCTTTTGTTTCGAGGGGGTGGCCCACTATCTATACTACCTCCACTGCCTTCTTCCAGGCAGTTGGGAGGGTCCCACTCCAGGTTGCAATGGCAGTGATGTTTGTTATTGCAGACTCCACTCATATTGCAGGTCTCAGGTGAACAATAAGTTATCAGATATGACATATGGACACACTTCCTTTGGATGCAGACATGTTCTGCCCCACACTCTGTCCCATCTTTCACATCACCAATGTCAGGTATGGTCATCCCAAAGTGGTAGTCGGTACCCCAGCAGGTGAAGTCATTGATGCGAGCCCAATGCACAGTAGAATGATTTATCAGATGGGGAAGTTCTATCACATTTTCACACTGAATCCTCCCGCACAAGGTATCTGAGATGTTACATTTTATGTATTTAGCGTTCATTAAACCACTGTTCCCAAAACCGTCACCTCGGGTATTCATTTCTGTGTAGCAACTCTGATCTGCACTCTTGGCCGCTTTGCCAAAAATGTTCCTGCACTGCTCTTCTCGGTTATTGCATCGCTTTTCATAGCAGTAGCCACCGCCCTTGCATGACACCCCGTTCTGCAAGTACACATCCTCTGGACAATGGTGGGAGGTCCCATTGCACCACTCTGGGAGATCACAGTCATTTTCCTCTTGTCTACAAACTTCGCCTTTTGGCAGGATCTGGCAGTCTTTGCAACAAAGCCCAAAAGCACAAGCAGCCCCAGGCCTGAGAGTGCAGTTGGACTCACAGCACGGATCTTTCATACACAATTGTAAAGTGCCACAGTCACATTCTTCTCCTTCTTCAACCAAACTGTTCCCACACTGTGCAGGTGTGAAGATGTTCCCTCTATCTGATGACCTGTACATACAATTTTGCCTTGCCACAAATCCCATCCAGTCCATGAAGTTAGCATAGCTGCAGTTGCTGAATCTAGTTGCACTTGCTTTTGTTGGAGCCATTATGCAGTTTTTATGTCCACATGTACAAGTTGTTTCATCATGATACATTCCCAAATTATGACCCATCTCATGTGACATGATGTATGCAAAATCATACAGATCATTGGTCATGAAACTATCAACTCCACAATTTAAAGTGTTTCTACATACGCCTTTTACATAGGCTAAGCCAAGACGAATACCATCGGAACGCTTTACCAAAAGATGTACAATATCATGGGGAATGCGGTTACTCAAGCTGGTTTCCTTCCATTTGCAAAAATCTGACAGGAGTTTGTTTATTTTATCTACTGAAAGTGGGTTGTTAGCAGTCCAAACCTCAATTCCCATTAAAACCACATCAACATCTAATGGACTCAAAAACTGATATACTGCATTGAGCACAAGTAGTACTTCATACTGTACAGCTGTGACATTACTTTGGTGATGAAGATAGCGAATGTGGTCCACCACCACTGCCAGTTCAAGAATCCGCCTGTGGGTCCACCAGCCTTCATACTCACTCTGCATCAAAGTGAAATTAGCACTATCTTGAAACTTCAGTTGCCATGCAATTTCTTCATCTGTTACTCCACATCTCATAGGTGGCCACTGTGTCTCCTCCCTGTCCACTTTATATATGAAATGCTCAAATGTGGTAGAAAGTGCCTTGGGCTCTATTTCATAAACAACGTCATTTGCTTGTAATATTCCCTGAAAACCTCCCAAACAGGTACTGATAGCAACCAGGGATTCTGGGTCTCCCTCCACATAACCCTGATAGTAGCAGTCATTCTGGACAAATGGCTGGTCCTCAAGGAGAGCGCCTCGGTCTGTGTAGGTAAACACTCGCAAGTGTCTGGATAGAAAATGCTTGTTGACCTTCATGTGTATGACCTGATTCTGGCCCCCAAAATGCATTCTGTAAGAGAGCCAATCTTTATTCTTCATGCCAAATCCAGTGCCTGTTACCTTCAAGGGAATCACCACTTCTGGGGGACCATAACGTTGGGAGTACACAACCTGGAACCATCCATATGAGAACAGAATCACCCCAAGCCAGAGTAGCAGCAGAATGTTCCTCACACACACCAGGGCCTTTCTCACAGCCATTATGGAGCCACCCTACACAGACTCTGGTGAGAGCAAAAGAGGACAGGTAGGAAGCATCACTGTTCCCTCTGAGCTGGGTGTTCTGGCAGGCTCAGACCATGGGTGCACACTGCAAGAGAAAATAAAAAGAAGAGTAGAGACAGGGTTGGCAGTTACGGGTAGGCCAATGTGGAGGAGAAAGAGAAACATAAGAGTTAATATGGATTAGTGTTGGACTGAAGACATGACTCAGAATACTGTTTGCATTTGCCCTTAAGAAATCTTAAGGGAAGGAGAAACCAAGATGGTAACATAGGTAAACAACTGCTCTGCCACCTCGCACAACAACTTTAAAATTAATACTAATATATAGGAAATCTATCACCCAATCCATGGGAAGGGTGGCTGGAAGAGAAAGGAGTGCCAGTGCTGAAAAGCTAAGGAGCCTAGGTACAGAGGCATGCAAATTGGCCTGCTGGAGGGCGACTGGGTGTGAGGCTTTTTTTCATCCCGAAGGTATATTGTGTTATTTTTTTAAAATTTCATGAAAATAAAAAAATTAAAACATCACAAAGTTTCATAGTTCAAAGGATTATTGTAGCAAAATATGCCAAGTTATGCAATATTGAGATTAAGCAGGAACTCTCATGCACTATTGGTGAGAATGCAAATTGGTGCATATTCTGTGGAAAACTGTATGGAGGCTTCTTAAAAATTTAAGAATAGAGCTACCATGTCCTGGATGCTTTCTGTTTCTTCAACTTTTGCTCAGTATGCCTGGACTTTCTCTCTCTAGAATAATTTTCCTCTCACTTCCTTTCATGGAAAAAACAACTGCCTCTCTATTTACATTTTTTCATGGAGACCTCCTTATTCCTACTTATTTCTCCAAAAACCTATATGTCAACAATGTGAAACCGAGAAGAGGAAGATTTCCAGTCTTAAAATTCCCCTGATGATATAAAGACCTGATGGCTGGCCCAATTATGTACTTTTCTTTCTTACTTACACCAAACTCCCAAATCAATCCTACACAGACCTCAAACAATTTAAAGTCTCTATTATAAATTTCTTCTCTACCATTTTATCTACATTCTGACTGTATTTAGCAAGGATGTGGACAACTTGTACAACATTCAGTTTATTTTATCTTTACAACTCACCTTCAATGACAAGCCATAAACTGTGACTATGGCCTGCATTGTATTATCACACTCTTAAGTAATTTATTACCTTAAGTAATTTAGCATGGCTTTTGTTCTTAATCTAAAGTTATCCATCAAATTTACAAATAACTCAAATAACTGTTTTTAACATTTACTAGTACTCCACATTTCTTTCAGTAACACATTAGCTCCCACTCCATTCTTATGTTCCTTTCTTCTAGAATCTGTTAATTCAAATTTGTCCAACTCCTCAACCCAAACTGAATTGATCCCTTTACTGTCACAACAAACTGCTTACACTACCCTGAAAAATATCAGACTCCTAGACTGTGATAGGGGGAAGGCTGGGCTGAGGGATCTCCCTCCCAGTGCACGAATTTTATCCACCGGCCTCTATGTAGTAATAATGTGCAGACTGAAAGTTATATCTTTGTAAAGACTAGAGCTTTTAATGAGGCATGACTGGCATGAGTAGTAATCAGAAAATTTCCCAGGTTTCCAGTCTCCCTCTAGTTGTCAACTATTGCAGAAACTAATAATGAGAGGACTGGCAAAGAAGACATTTAATTTATATGTTTGAATTCCCTGTGTGACAAAGCAGAGTACAAATGGGAAGGATGGCTAGAACTGAGACAGCAAATTAAGAACACACAAATACACAGCATCCATTAGCTGTACTTTTACTCAGGAAACACAGAGACTAGTTCTATGAATAATTAAACACTAAAATTATAAAAATAAGTAAAAGTAGTAATATTCTAGAAATTGAGATATTTTGCCAATTATTTAATGACCAATGTTTTATGATTCCAAATAATAAAAATTCGCAATGGACTGTGACACATGCTGTAACATGTCTACAGCCAGGAGACTAAATTTTACTACATGGCAAATTGGGCTTCTTTTTAAAAATTGTAAATTGTGTCTTGCTTTTCTAAACTTCAGTAGAACATTTCGCTGTTCTTCCTTAGGTGAAATTGGAACATCTTGCTCTTTTTCTTTAGGTAAAGTCTTGACATTTTGTTCTTTTTACTCCTTTGAAGATGACAGTTTTGAAGATGACACTTCTAAAGGTGACACATTTGACTCTCTTCTCTCATCTGTTCTTTTGCGTCTCAGAAAACAAAAAAATAAGATGCATAATAACATAATAAAAGGAATCAACAAAAGTAGAAGCAGGTAATTGGTTCCTTGCCCCATTTTCCTCTGAGGGGGTGGCCCACTGTCAATACTACCACCACTGCCTTCTTTCAGGCAGTTGGGAGGGTCCCACTGGGGGTTGCAATGGCAGTGCTGTCTGTTGTTGCAGACTCCTTTCAGATTGCAGGTCTCAGGTGAACAATCAGTTACCAGATGTGACATAGGAACACACTTCCGTTGGATGCAGATATGTTCTACCCCACATTCTGTCCCATCTTTCACATCACCAATGTCAGGTATGGTCATCCCAAAGTGGTAGTCAGTGCCCCAGCAGATGAAATCATTGATGCGAGCCCAATGCACAGTAGAATGATTTATCAGATGGGGAAGTTCTTTCACATTTTCACACTGAATCCTCCCGCACAAGGTATCTGAGATGCTACATTTTACGTATTTAGCTTTCATTAAACCACAGTTCCCAAAACGGTCACCTAGGGTATTCATTTCTGTGTAGCAACTCTGATCTGCACTCTTGGCCGCTTTGCCAAAAATGTTCCTGCACTGCTCTTCACGGTTATTGCATCGCTTTTCATAGCAGTAGCCACTGCCCTTGCATGACACCCCGTTCTGCAAGTACACATCCTCTGGACAATGGTGGGAGGTCCCATTGCACCACTCTGGGAGATCACAGTCATTTTCCTCTTGTCTACAAACTTCGCCTGTTGGCAGGATCTGGCAGTCTTTGCAACAAAGCCCAAAAGCACAAGCAGCCCCAGGCCTGAGAGTGCAGTTGGACTCACAGCACGGATCTTTCATACACAATTGTAAAGTGCCACAGTCACATTCTTCTCCTTCTTCAACCACACTGTTCCCACACTGTGCAAGTGTGAAGATGTTCCCTCTATCTGATGACACGTACATACAATTTCGCCTTGCAATGGTGTTCATGAAGCTAGCATAACTGCAGTTGCTGAATTTAGTTGCACTTGATTTTACTGGAAACATTATGCAGTTTCGAAGTCCACATATACAAGTTGGTACATCATGTTTCATACCAAAATTATGACCAATCTCATGTGCCACAATATATGCAAAAGTATGTAAAGTTTCACCCATTGAAGTTTCCACTCCACAATTAAATGCAATGTCACATACTGTTCCCACATAGGCCAGGCCAGCAACAATGCCATAATTACGCATAACAAAAAGATGTGCAATATCATGAGAAATGCGCTTATTTAAGCTAGTTTGCTTCCAATTGCAAAATCCTTTTAGACCATGAGATATGTTATCTAATGATGTCGGGTTTCTTCCAGTCCAGACCTCAATTCCCATGAAAACCACATCAACATCCAGTGAATTCAAAAAGTTAGCTGCGCCATTGACAGTAAGAAATGCTTCATACTGCACAGCTGAAATGTTACTTTGGTGATGAAGATAGAGATTGTGTTCCACCACCACTATCAGTTCAAGAATCTGCCTGTGGGTCCACCAGCCTTCATACCCACTCTGCATCAAAGTGAAATTAACATTCTGTTGAAACTTCAATTGTCGTGCTATTTCTTCATCTGTTACTCCACATCTCATGGCTGGCAACTGTGTCACCTCGCTATCCACTTTATATATGAAATGTTCAAATGTTGTAGAAAGTGTCTTGGGCTCAATTTCATAAACAGTGTCATTTGTCTGTAATATTCCTTGCAACCCTCCCAAACAGGTACTGAGGGCAACCAGGGATTCTGGGTCCCCCTCCACATAACCATGATAGTAGCAGTCATTCTGGATAAAAGGCTGGTCCTCAAGAAGAGCACCTTGGTCTGAGTAGGTAAACACTCGGAAGTGTCTGGATAGAAAATGCTTGTTGACCTTCATGTGTATGACCTGATTCTGACCCCCAAAATGCATTCTGTAAGACATCCTATCTTGAGTCTTCATGCCAATGCCAGTGCCTGTTACCCTCAAGGGAATCACCACTTCTGGGGGACCATGGTATTGGGAGTGCACAACCAAGAACAATCCATATGGTAACAAAATTATCCCCAACCAGAGTTGTAGACTAGTGTTCTTCACACACACTAGGGCCTCACTCACAGCCATTATGATACCACAATACATAGCCATTGGTGAGAGCAAAATAGGATGGGCAGGATGCATCACTCTTGCCTCTGAGCTGAGTGTTCAGCATTGACTTTGAATCTGTTCTCTGGCAGCCTCATACCATCAGAGTACACACTAAAAGAGAAAAATAAAGAGTAGAGACTGTGTTGGAGGTTATTAGCAGGCCAAGGTGGAGGAGTAAGAAAAAGACAGGAGTTAAGATGGATTAGTGTTTGGCTCAAGAAATAATTCAGACTACTGCATCCATTCTCCCCTTAGAAACTTTAAGGCAGCATGGCCCATGTGGCTGAGTTGGTTGACTTTGTCTCATGCACCAAGAGGTCAAGGGTTTGATTCTCAGTCAGGGAATATATCCAGGTTGTGGTAGCATTCTAGTAGAGGGTATGCTGGAGGCAGCCAATAAATGTTTCACTTTCATTGATGTTTCTATCTCTACCTCTTCCTTTCTATCTCTCTTAAAATAAATAATGATTAAAAAAAAAAAGAAATTGTAAGGCAGTTTGAGATTGTGTGTGTAAAAATGGTGATTTGTCATAGAAAGAGACCTATGAACCTGGTTGAATTACACTTAGTGATTAATGATACTGTTGTTTAACTACATAAACATTTGTGAAAATTTTCACAATCTTACCTAATAATAGACAAACATGTAAATTGACCATACCTCGGCTATGCCCACAGCCAATCAGGAGTGAGTATACAAATTAACCTGACAAAGATGGTAGGTTAATTTGCATATGCAGGCATGGAGCTGTCAGGAGGGGTGGGATGCCTGCTCTGAGGAGGAGGTGGGTGGTGGAGAGAGCTACAGGAGTGGTGTTCCTCCTGGGAGCGAGGACTTGCAGGCTCCTGGGCAGCCAGGAGCGAAGCCAGGGGAAGGAAGGCCCATTCTTGCATGAATATCTTGCAACAGGACTCTAGTAAATATATAAAACAAATGGTCTTAATGGAAAGGTGAAGATATATCCTATTTGAGATGGAGTCTCTATTTGTATTTATTGACTTGATATAAATATTAATATATATTTTTCCCTTTTCATTTTTTTTTTATTTTTATTCTTTTTAGAAATCATTTCTCATTTTTCAATTAGATTTGCCAAACAATATTACATATTATTGTAGTTTCTGGATTGCCTCCAATGATTAGACCTTATATAAATTATTGAGTGATTATCCTGATAAATCTTGTACCCATCTAACAAAATACATTATTAGAACATTATTGACTTTCTTTTATCCTTGATTTTTTTTAAATATATATTTTATTGATTTTATACAGAGAGGAAGGGAGATAGAGAGTCAGAAACATCGATGAGAGAGAGTCATCGATCAGCTGCCTCTTGCACACCCCCCACCGGGGATATGCCCGCAACCAAGGTACATGCCCTTGACCGGAATCGAACCCGGGACCCTTCAGTCCCCAAGCCGACGCTCTATCCATTGAGCCAAACCGGTCCCGGCTTATCCTTGATTTTATTCTCTATGCTATACTTTACATCTCCATGACTATTCTGTTACTACCAATTTGTACTTCTTAATCTCTCCAACTTTTTTACCAAACTCCTCAACCATCCTCTCATCTGATAATCATCAACATGTTCTCTGTATCTATGAGTTTTTTCCTGTTTTATGTGTTCTTTTATTTTTATTTTTTTGTTTTAAATAAATCTTTATTATTCACATTATTACAAATGTTCCTCATTCCCTCCCCCCTCCATTGCTCTCCTCCACCAGGTTCTCACCCCACCCTCTGCCCTTTCCCCATCCCCCATTGTCCTCATCCATAGGTGCACAGTTTATGTTCAGTCTCTTCCCACCCCCCTCCCCTTTTCCCCAAGAATCGTCAGTTCACTCCCCTTCCATACCTCTGATTCTATTATATTCACCAGTTAATATTGTTCATCAGATTTTTTTTTTTAATTCCCTTGGTTTTTAGATTCACTTGTTGATAGTATTTGTTGTTCATAGTTTTTATCTTTATTTATTTTCTCTTCTGAAAGAACCCCCTTCAGCAATTCATATAATTCTGGTTTGGTGATGATGAACTCCTTTAGCTTTTTTTTATTAGTGAAGCTCTTTATCTGGCCTTCGATTCTGAGTGATAGCTTTGCTGGGTAGATTATTTTTGGCTATAGGTTCTTGTTATTCATCACCTTGAATATTTCTTGCCATTCCCATTTGGCCTGCATGATTTCTGTTGAGAAATCAGCTGCCAATCGTATGGGTGCTCCTTTATACGTAACTACCTGCTTTGCTCTTGCTGATTTTAATATTCTCTCTTTGTCTTTTCTCTTGGGATTTTAATTATGATTTGTCTTAGTGTGGTCTTCTTTGGATTTCTTTTGTTTGGAGTTTTGTGCGTTTCCTGGACTTGTAAGTCTAATTCTTTCACCAGGTGGGGAAAGTTTTCTTTCACTATTTCTTTCAGTATGTTTTCAATATTTTGCTCTCTCTCATCTTCTGGGACCCCCCATAATTCTGATGTTGGTTTGCTTGAAGTTGTCCCAGAGGTTTCTTACATTATCTTCAACTTTCTGGGTTCTCTTGTCTTCTTGCTTCTGTGGAGGAGTGACTTCTGGCTCTTTATGTTCCAAATCTTTGACTTGATTCTTATGATCTTCCATTCTGTTTTTAGGAACTCTGTATAATATTTTTTTATTTCAGACAATGTATTATTTATTTCTTGTTGATCCCTTATTATTTCTTGTTGATCCCTTATTATTTCTTGTTGATCCCTTATTATTTCTAGTTGATCCCTTTTCATATCCTCATAAGTCTTATTTATTTTATCGGCCTTTTCTAGGAAATTCTTGAAAAACCTTAAAAGTGTGGTTTTGAACTCTATATCCAGTTGCTTTTTGTCCTCCATTTCTTTCGTTTGTAATCTGTTTCCTTGTCTCAGCATTTTCGCAGCTTTCCTGAGTTGGTAGCCTTAAAAGTCTCTGTGTTCAGCTTGGATGGGGCAGAGTTTCAGGGTGGAGCCTACAGCCTTGGTTTCTGTTAGTCCCGCCCTATGAGGCTCCTGAGTCTCAGTGTTCCTCAGGGTCCTTCAGTACTCGCTGCAAGCACCTCTAAGAGAAAGGTGCCCTCGAGTTTTGCTGGCTACCAAACAGTCTAGGTTCTCCCCTAATGAGCCCAGAACTGGGGTTCAGTTCAGTTGGAAGTGGAGTTGGAGGTGGCGTTCAGAGCAGTCTGGAGCTTTTGTCTCCTTCCAGCTAGGGCAATCAGTGGCACAGTCAACCACCCGTTCTCTGTGCACAATGTGCGCGCCTTCGGGACTTCCTTTCACTGCTCCCCTAGGTTTCTGCCTTACAGCCCAGTCTCCCTCTGTATGAGCCTGTGTCCCCAGGGTCTGGCGTAGAACTGGGGTTCAGTGCTGTCGGATCTGGAGTTCAGCACAGTCCGGAGCTTTTATCTCCCCGCTAGGGAATGCCAGCTAGGCACTCAGCCGCCCCTCCTCTCCGGCTCCATCCTCTCAGCACGAGCAAGGTGTCTCTGTACCTTAGGCTTTTATAGGTCCTCTGCTTTTCCTTCTGGTTTTCTCTTTCCTTCTCATTGTAGAATTTCCAATCAGTTGACTTTCCTGTAGTTCCGGATAATGTCCATTTTGTATTTTAGTTTTATTTTATTGAAATTGTTGTGTGCAGCTGCAGTTAGGTGTTTACCTGTGCAGGCATCTTGGATCCTCCTGTTCCTTTATTTTGAAAAATTTTTTTTGTTCATATTATTACAAATGTTCCTTCCCCCCCCCCCCCCCCCATTGCTCTCCTCCACCAGGTTCCCACCCCGCCCTCTGCCCTTTCCCCTCTCCCCATTGTCCTCATCCATAGGTGCACAGTTTATGTTCAGTCTCTTCCCACGCCCCCCTCTCCCTTTTTCCCCAAGAATCGTCAGTTCACTCCCCTTCCATACCTCTGATTCTATTATGTTCAACAGTTAATATTGTTCATCAGATTTTTTTAATTTCCTTGGTTTTTGGATTCACTTGTTGATAGTTACGTATTTGTTGTTCATAATTTTTATCTTTGTTTACTTTCTATTCTGAAAGAACCCCCTTCAGCAATTCATATAATTCTGGTTTGGTGGTGATGAACTCCTTTAGCTTTTTTTATTAGTGAAGCTCTTTATCTGGCCTTCGATTCTGAGTGATAGCTTTGCTGGGTAGATTATTTTTGGCTGTAGGTTCTTGCTATTCATCACCTTGAATATTTCTTGCCATTCCCTTCTGGCCTGCATGGTTTCTGTTGAGAAATCAGCTGACAATCATATGAGTGCTCCTTTATAGGTTACTACCTTCTTTGCTCTTGCTTCTTTTAATATTCTCTCTTTGTCTTTTGCTCTTGGAATTTTAATAATGATGTGTCTTGGTGTGGTCCTCTTTGGATTCCTTTTGTTTGGAGTTCTGTGCGCTTCCTGGACTTGTAAGTCTAATTCTTTCACCAGGTGGGGGAAGTTTTCTGTCACTATTTCTTTCAGTATGTTTTTGATATCTTGCTCTCTCTCATCTTCTGGGACCCCCATAATTCTGATGTTGGTTCGCTTGAAGTTGTCCCAGAGGTTTCTTACATTATCTTCAATTTTCTGGATTCTCTTGCCTTCTAGCTTCTGTGGAGGAGTGTCTTCTGGCTCTTTATGTTCCAAATCTTTGACTTGATTCTTGCGATCTTCCCTTCTGTTTTTAGGACTCAGTAAAATATTTTTTATTTCAGACAATGTATTCTTTATTTCTTGTTGATCCCTTATCGTTTCTTGATGACTCCTTATTAATTCTAGTTGATCTCTTTTCATATCCTCATAGGCCTTATCCATCTTTTCTAGGAAATTCTTGAAAAACCTTATAAGCGTAGATTTGAACTCTATATCCAGACGCTTTTTGTCCTCCATTTCTTTCGTTTGTGATCTATTTTGTTGTTGCATTTCACAGTTACAGATGGGACGGGGTTTCAGGGTGGAGCCTGCAGCTTTGGCTTCCGTCAGCC